ACCAACTTCTACAAGCAGTTAGAAGGTTGAGTTCACGCACTGCGCTAAGCCACAGATTGCTCAGCTATGGTTCCAGCTTTTGAGGGGATTTAACAGTGGAAAATGAGTGTCTGCACCAGGGTTTCTCAAGCTCAGCAACTTTAAGATGTGTGGACTTCAACTCCCAGAATTCCCCAGCCAGCAGGGCTGGCTGGGGAATTCTGGGAATTGGAGTCCACACATCTTAAAGTTGCTGAGCTTGAGAAACACTGCTCTACATTTTTGTCCAGATCTCTGATTCTAGAAGCAGCCAGGAATTAGGAGCGTTCAGCGCACTTTTTGGCTCCAGGCGGCTTGCACGTTTGCATCCCAAAGGAGGATGTTCCACAGGTCAAGAGGGGTGCCCTAGCCGCAGTTCTGTGCTTCAGCCTTGGCATTCTCCTTGCTCTCTTGCCCTGCTTGAAAACAACTGCTGCATAACGAATGCCCATTCTTTATAACAAGCAGGACAGAGTTAAGCGTTAACCCTTAACTAAATGGGCAAGAATTGCATTTCATGAGATTGAAACCGAGGGAAGCTTGCTAGGGCCGTGCGAGTGATGATGCGGCAAGACGCTGTGGCCCCTGAGCCGGCTGAAGGCGGAGGAGAGTAAGCGTTTCATGTGTTGATATTTTGAACAGAGGAGAGCTTCTCAGGCTACATATATAAAAGTAGTATTTTGGCTGATCTTTAAAACAATGGCAACGTTGGAGCGAGTTAGTAACTGGATGGGAGACCACCAGGAAATCACAGGACTGGATGCTACACTGGGAAATTTTTAAAAAATGTAGAAGGAAGGCAGTAACAAACCACTTCTATCTTGTTGCTAAAAGCACTATATATTTGTCAAGGGCATTTTTACCCCAGTTAAACCAAATTTCAGCAAACTTGTGATGAATACAGTTTACACTTTACACATTTGGGGAAGGTGAGTCGTTTGGGGCAAGGATGCAAAGTGGTTGGCTAAGTCATGGATGTGGGAAAAGTCAGGACTTTTTCTTTTTCTCTTATAGTGCGAAGTTTCTTGTGCATTTCTTTTTAAATGGCATGAAGCCCTTTTTAGGGCTTGCAGTGCGTTTTTAGCAGGGTTCTTGCTTTAAAATGGTAGGAAATTGTGCAGCGGTTGTGTTCCATGTGTTCCAAGGCCAACACTTGGAGCCACGCGTAGCCCTTGACCGTTCCTGAATACTGTACTGTCATGCCAACCAAAAGCTTTGCGACGGTGAGAAAAAGATGTGTGTGCCGGTGTAGTTAAAGTGATTTGTTTCCTGAGGCTTCATTCATTAGAAATGGCGAGAGCATCTTCTGATCCTTGGATAGGACGTTGAATTGCTTAAGGAATGGATGGCTTTGAGCCTGCCCAGCTGAGCCTTTCTCTTGGCCCTGCGTGCCATACCATCCTCGCCTTTGCTCTGGAGGCTTTGCTTGCTTATTTAACTCCATCCCCCAAAAGTTTGGGGTAGTTCATTCATGATGTGGCAGCAATCTGTCAAGGCACATCAAAATATGGAACGTGGTCTGAGTAGAGCAGCTTCTCGGGGTCACTGTGCTGGGGTGTCCTTCTTCCTGGGCTCTCTAGCCAGATTCATGCATGATACCAAGCCATCATTTGCTTAAGCAAGGTTTGTTAATCGAGCCACCCTGGTTGGATTCATGCGCTGCTGTCGACAGTCAACTGCTGTTAACATACCACAGTGGTTGGGTGCACACAGAACTAAAAACCAAAGAAGCCACGTTATCTGCGTGTGCAAAGCCCGAGCCCTGTCTTTATGTGCAAAGCATGTGTTTAGATGATGGCGATGGCCTGTCCAGCTCAAGGTTTTCACTAGTGAAAACCAGACCTGTGTGGAAAGCTTCTTAAGTGAGCAGGCCTGGCACTTAATTCAAAGTATGCACCCATCACCCAGGATGCCCACATCCACTCTCTTAGCTGGGATTCTGGAGGAAGGAAGTGCAGACTGTGGTGGGTATATGGGCTACAACATGCTGGATCCTGCAGGTGCTGAGACCAGGAAGTTCAGCCTCAGAATCTGCAGGTGAGCCTACAGAGAGGGCAGAGGGAATGGTCTTGAAGGGAAGGAGGAACAGCCGCTACCAAGACAGTGGTCGGATAAGGAAGTAACTTGAGAAGACGTCTCAGACAAGTCCCTCCCTAGTTCACGTGAAGATAAAGTGAGGTTGGGGAAAGCACATTCAGACTTGCAAGATTCTGCCACTGTGGCTGTTACAATCAAGGTAGAACTGACCTGCTTGCCATCGGTTCCTTAGCCTGGTGTATCTTGTAGGGCTGACAGATTGGCCAAAACCTTTTCATGCTCTCTTGAGAGCCACCCCTGATAGAAAGGGTTAAACTGAGCTGGAGGCATATGCCCATCTCCCTGAGATGCAGAGGATAGCAAATAAGCAATTTCCCCAAATTGATGCGCTCCAGATGTGTTGGGAGCGCCGTTTCTCTCATTTTTAGCCAGAAGGGGAGCTTCGTGTGAAATATCTGGCAGGTGCCAGAGGAGAACAGGTTGTCCATAAACTTTTGTTTCTGAAACCCTATTTCTGATTTTACGAGGTATTTTTATGTGGGGTAGGAGTGTTATCTTGCGTACGTGCACTCCATATTAGTCACAAGCTGGATTTACAAGGCATGCATGTGATTTATATTGCCGGAAACAGCCGTAAGGGAACTCTGTCCTTGGATCCTCTGAAGGTGCCTGAGCAGAGTGTTGTTTCTCCATGTGCCCTTAACTCCCTCTGGAGGCAAGAGATTAGTAGGCAGATGCGGGCGGTGCATACGGTCAACTGTTCAGTTCTCCAAGTCCCTCTGGTTTGGTATTCTGTCCTCCTTTACGATGAGATGACCATCAGGGCTTCGTTTCTTCCTCTTTAAAAAGGAAGGTTAGATAGCATGGCTAGGTTTAACATACCGTAAACAATTCTTCTTCTTTTTTTTTTTCAAAAAAGAAATCCGTATCAATATTTTTAAGCATGTTGAATTGACGGGATCTTGTTTTGGGTGCTTGGGTTCTGAATCAAACCGACCTCCCGTTGAAAGGCCAATTTGTCTGCTTGAAGGACAGCTAATGAGAGACCTTGTCGATGACCCCAAGCTGACTGTGTCTGAACTTCATTATGCGTTTTGCCGTCTGCAAACTTGTTCTGTGAGGCCTCCGTGCCCCCTGCTGTAAAACAGTAGGAGTAGAGTCCTCCCCTGGTTTTGTTCATTAGTTTTATGTGATTTGCTTGAAACGAGGAGATTGACGTGTTCTGCTCACGTTGTTAGACCACGGTGTTCTTCTAAGTCTTGATCCTCATCTGGTTTCTCTTAATTTGAGCAAATTAAATCAAAACTCTCTCATGACTTTGCTTTATGGTTTGAGTAATGTCCTTGGGTCCCTTGATAACGTAACCTCAGTGTTCTTCAGGCCTACTCCTAGAATGTCTATGGGGGAAACTATAGGTAGTCTGGAGGCCATGGACACAACCCTGGGTGTCCACCAATCTCCTTGCCTTTATGTTATTTTAGATTATTTAAATTAAATTAAAATAAATACATAAAATAAAATAAAATAAATACATAGGAGGCCTGCTTGCTGTGATGCAACCTCACAGATTTGTTTTCAAGAACATCTATAGGGCCTACATAAGCAGCACTGGCATTCTTAGAAAACCAAAATGTTGGGTGACCTCTACCCAGTGCCTTGTTGAGAAACGTGTCCAGCTTTTGGAGGAGAGGGAGGTCAACACCATGATAGGATGGCGTGAAACTTGCAGAGGCTGGAGGAGCTATCCAACCATTTGTCTTCTACATGTGTTTTGTAACTGGTCAGGCCAGCTCTGACCACCACACTGTGAAAACACCAGCACATAATCTGAAAATGTCAGATACTCCCATGGATTCCCCAAAGTTGCCTGGACCATGCCTTCGACATACCTCCTACATAAAATCTTGTTTCCTCACATTGAGAAGATCCTGTTATGGTCACTCAGTTGCAAGTAACTGCTGAGTTGTGGTATAGGTGCAGTTTAATCATCTGCAGCTTGAACTTGAATTAGGGTTGTTGATTACCTGCCGTTGGGTTCTTGGCTTAGTTCCACCCACTTTTTGGTCACCCACCAATGATTGCAGAGAGAATTGCTCCTTGGGAGAAAAATGGAAATCAACCCTGTCCTAGGATGCGCTGCTTAATTTTATCTATACCTCGGCGGCTTGATTCTAACCAGAGAGATAAGCGTTGTGATTATACAAACCTTGTAATTTGATTTGATTCAGAAGTTACTAAATTGAACACGGTCTTTTCTACGTGCCCAGAAATCCCTTGCTTAACATGGTAAGGAAAATTCGAACCTACGTGCCCTTTTGAATAAAATCACAGCTGATCTATTTACTCTCATGATCTATATTATCATAGTCACTGTTGTTATTTTAAAGGCTTTTTGCCGATAGCGCTTTATCTTGCCAGTGACCCTGCCAATGTATCGCTTTGCCCTGTAATTCTTTTCAGCTGATTTTGGAGCAGAAAACAAATGTGCGCTTGACCCTTCCTTCGGTCTAACCATCACGGCTTTATCAGCTTATAAGAAGTGACTATCAGCAAGGCTAGCAGAAAATACATTGAACCTCCTTCACCTAGTTATTCCATCTCCCCTCCCCTACTACATCTAACTAATTGAATGGATTTGCAGGGTTGAAAAGCCACCCAGCAGTGGGTCATTGTTCCCCATCTGAAACCCTGTTGATTTTGCAAAAGTGAGACAGAAGCAACAGTCAGCTGAGCTTTGGTTGAGAGGATTCTGGAAGGCAGGCCTTCTGCTGTCTGCAACATCTCATAGCATTGTCGGTCCATGTACCATGGGGCCTGTTGGCCACCTCTGCAGGGGTCTGTGGAGCTTTACGCTGCTGGCTTTGAGAAATCTCACTTAATCTTGCAGAAATGTAGATACGTGCGCACTGCCCTTAAGGAACATTAATATTTGTGCATTTTCTTAGGTACCAGCTACTGACCATGTCATCAGACGGTCCGGATTCTCACATTACAGAGCATAAACCTTTAGTAGACAAAGAAGAGGTAAGTTGGCATAACTGCGCCAGAAGGACTACCAAATCTTCCAGACTCTCAAATCCCAAGTCCTGTTACTGCAGTCCAATAAGGACAGCATGTATTGGATAATCACCCCCAGAACTCAGCCGGCATTGATTTTTATGTCTTCCTACCACCATGTGAACCTTTTTTTTTAAGCTACCCATTTCTTTTGTTCTGTTTCCTGTTGTTTTAGCATGCCTTGCTTCTCGTCAAATGCTTTCTTTCACAAACTTCATTATGATATCGTTTCTTACATTTTCATCCTACCTTTCTTCTGGAGCTGAAGGTGGCGTACTTGGGAGTCGCCTCTTCTTCTGTCTGGGAGATAGGATGGGCAGAGACAAACTGACTGTTCCACACTACCTGGGGACGTGAAAATGAGTTCAGCACTCCAACTGTTACAAGATGCTGGCTCTCCAAAAATGTTGCTATTCAGTTCAAAGAGCCTGGTGTAGATGAAGGGTGGGCAAATTGGTCACCTGAACTCTCTGCAGAGCCTCCTCTAGTAAAATAGCGGAAATCCCATGGAACAGCTTTCTGCCGTTTTGAAATGACAAAGATAAAATGTACATCTTAAAAATGAGCTTAATCAAACCTCTCTTTTTTGGGGGGGGGGAAGAATAATAAAAAACCAAAGCCGTGGACCCCACCAACCTTGCATCATTGCGCCGCCCCTGCATCATGGCTAAATAAACCTGCCTGCCAGGGAATTCCATTTGGTGGGTCCCAGGAGGTGGGCCTTCTCTGCCGTGGCACCCACCTTGTGGAATCTTCTCTGCCCAGAAGTGAGATTAGCTCCATCCCTCTCAACAGTCCAGAAGTCCCTCAAGACCTGGCTATGGGATCAGGCCCGGGGCTCCCAGGGGACCGGGGAGATTTTGTGTTGGCTCCCTTATTATTATTATCCCCTCCTGTTCTGTGTGCTTTTATAGTTGTTTTTACTTGTGATTTTTTAAAATGTATTTATTGTTTTTAATCGTTGTACGCCGCCCAGAGTCACTTTTATGTGAGATGGGCAGCTATATAAATTAGATAGATAGATAGATAGATAGATAGATAGATAGATAGATAGATAGATAGATA